AATATTTCACTCGAAATAAGACTGAAAACAGTGTTAAAGCGGGGGGGTCGTCACCTACGCACGCGCGGGAATTGAGTCCCAAGCGATGATAACAACATACGCTAAAAATGCAAAGGCTCATGGGTAGACGCTTGTTTGTAAACAATGACACGCTAGTACGCTCATTGACACTGCAGGTCGGCGTCTTCTACACCGATCTGTGCTGGAACAGCGCTTCCTGTGACGACACAACGCGATGACACGCTATGGCCATCTGACGCATGCGCAGGTGACGACTCCCCCGCTTCAACAGAGAAACTTCGCCCACAAAATCGATCCGTCCACGTCCATCATCTGCAATGTTGTTCATAACAGGGCTAGTCAGGAGATGTAATTTGAATTTGGACATCAATGCCTGATGATATTCAACCATATTTACAACCATAATATGAATTATCATCATTACGTGGGTGAAACGAAAAAAACAACAACACAGCTATGAAGTACTAGTATGTTCCGGAGGATATTGAAACACTCCAGGGGAAATTGATAGGGAGATAGTGGTTTTTCATGACCAGTTTATTTCGGTGCTAACTTTTATCCATGTGTGCATTTGTTTTCTTGTGATTGGAGTGGTAATTTAGCGTGAACGCTTACCACGGCCTAAGAAATGCTAAGCACGGGCTAACGAAGTGTGCGTTCCTTAGCTGCTGCTAACCACAGTTTTGTCCCGTGTGTAAACGCAATTGGGTCTATCCGACATGCTACTAACTTCAGCATGTATGAGTACTAATAAATGAGAAAACACGGGTGGGGCTACTTTCTAATTTAATCACAAATGTGAACGCAGAATCGGATAATTGCCCCTCCTCCCCTCTGGCTACAAAAGGGAAGAAAAACAAATACCCACTGTCGTTAATTTCCAACAATAATTCCGGCTCTGATTGATATAAGAGTTATATTTGCTGAACGAATATTGGATTGAAATGGAATTTCAAAAACACACTCGATCCAACTGATGGATGAAAAAATAAATTACCCACTTCCAAAATGTGCAGTCTAAAACGGGTCTAAAACTCAATTTGTACTTTCCATCTGCGTTAGGACTATCATCTGATGAACACATCGCGACAGGAACATGATCGATTGCACACCAATGTATAGTATAATATCGAGTATGCCTTCGAAGATGTGTTCAATGTGACAGGTGGACGCTTATTTTTGTTTATTTTTCGACTAAAAT